ACTTGTGAAGAAGGCGAGAAAAGTAGGTAAACAACATCTTAGTATTATCAAGAAAAAAATTTCGATAGTATAACCTCCTCTCCCATACTGAGTAATGATAATATAATTCAGTTTTACATAAGATTATTTTGGGGGAGGGGGAGAGTATGGAGGTGTGAGATAGTGTGATAATGTGACAGAAGGCCAGCAGTCTTGAGCAACTGGGGAGTAAATGGATGGGCACTGTGGCAATACAGATGTCATGCTGTGCAGGTAGACAGAAATCGGGTCATGGGTGATGCAGCAAGAACTGGGCTTCATCCTGAGAATGAGTCCACGGTGGCCTCAGACTCACTGTGATTCTCCTGCTTCAGCCTCCAGAGTGCTGGGCTTACAGGTATGTTCCACCACCCACAGGTCTTAAGTAAGATTTTTTCTTTTCTAGAAATTGTGGTCTGAAATTCCACTCAATCTTCCCTTGGCCAAGAAGTACTTAGGGAAGGAGTCTGGCTCGTACTTGATCACATAAAAGACTGAAAATGGCTCTTCCTGGCCCATTATTTTTCATATCATTCTCCCTGTTTAGAAATGAAAACTGATAGTTTAAACATTTTGTGAATCCCCTAAATCACGTGATGTTGTTAAACTTGAGCATCTGACTCAACTGGCTTGAGAGGAAATATCTTACCCAAGAGATCCAACAGGAACTCTCCTAGAAGACTTAGCACCTGAAGCCAGTTGTTTTCAGTAGCAGTTGAGGGTGGGAGTATGCAAGGAGAGTCTAATAGCTCACAAAGTGTGGTCCACAGGCCAGCATCGTCAGCACCACCCAGGACCTTGCTAGAAAGGTCAATCCCACATCTACTGACTCAGACACCGAGCTGGGCCCAGCAGCCTATTTTTGAAAGGCCTCCCGGTAACTCTGACTTGTGAAATTGGGGATGAATTATTTGAGGATGACTGGGGTATTCATTCCATAGTTAAACTTCAGTATAATCTCCTCCTTCGCTTCTTTTTCCTTTCTTACCTCCCTTACATGTAAACATTGAAAGTATTCTATTTTCAGTGTTTTCATGACATGTATCTAGAACTGTGCATGTCCACACCTTGTGTGTTCCCTGTATACATCAAATAAGTGCAGGCCAAATTTCGAGTACAATTTTAGCAGGCCCAAAGAAGCAACTCTTAGAGGGCCTATTAATAATATACAAATAAAGTATTTTGATAAACATAATTCATGTCCAGGACCTAGTTTGCCTTTCATTCCTGACATTGACCCTAGTCACAGGCCTCAAAATACTGAGCCTCTATAGTTCAAAGGGCTTAGCTGCTTTGTTTTGATGTTACCCCAAAGTCATTCTGCTATAGTTTGTTCTTTATGAGTTCCAAACTGAAGCTTCAGTAGAAGGGGACTCCCTTACAGCGCTGAACTAAGGGTATAAAGAGTGCTAGTTATGAGCTCCGGGTTTTCAAAGGATGTTCAGTAAGTGATGGGATCAGTGAGGCAACCAGAGGTCAAGAAAAGATCCACATGGTCTGGATCCATCCAGGAGAGGAGAAAGGAAGGAAGAGAGTGGGAGGGAGGTGGGGAGGGAGAGGGAAAGGGAAGTAAGAGGAGAGGGAGGAGAGAGAATATTTACATTAGTGCTGGGCTTTACTTAAGATTTCCAAACTGGGAAGTTATAATGAAGTCAACATAGATGGTATAGAAAGAGTTCTTCACCACTCTAGCTTTCATCAATATATACACACCGAAATAACATGTAGTTCTGAAAATAAGACAGACTATTCCTCTGGGCCTCTCTTTCCCTTTAAAAGTGTTTAGAAACAAATCCTGCCCTTTGCTGGTACAGTCTGGTTCAGTGATGACATTGCAGTTTTCTGATGTGCTGTGATGTCCATGACTTCAGAACTTTCTGGAACCCAAGGGATCAACAGGAGATGCCTGGTGCATGAGTGTTAACGCCTTAGCCTTTGCTTGTACTTTCTGATTTCCACTGGCTGTTCTTGGAGTCCTGCCCCTCTTGGTTTTCTATATGGTTCTTCGACTTTTCTTCCTGAGAGCAACAGAAGTCAGTTATAGACATATGTGTAATGGTGTGATAGACAGCGTGGTCCCCACCCAAACCAGTGCGAACAGAACATTCCATTTTAATCCTAACTGAACTGCAAAATTTAAATTCCACCCGAGTCCTGTTTCCTTCCCACCTGATGAAACCCGGCCTCAAGGACTCTCATTTCCTCCAGATGTCAAAACTGGCTGTTCCCTCAGACTCTGCTCTGTGCTTTAGTAGCTTAATTCAGTATTCTCAGAGATAAGAGCACAAGGAAGTCCTCCCATGCCCCAGTTAACTCCAGGATGGATGGTACAGATTTGGAGGCCAAGTGGGTCTGAGTGGCTGAATGCTTCAGTAGGCTGTGCTTTGTGATGACTGAATGTCTCAGTGTCTCAATGGGCTGTGGTTTGTGGCTAATCCCCAAGGGGCGCATGACTTGAGACCCTTACTTTATATTTCATTGCAGAATCCAGTGGCCACAGAGTCTACCTATCACATGCACCAAAACCTGGGGTCCCTGTGTCACTCACCCATCTTCCTTAACCCTCACATCCACCCAGTCTACAAATCTTGCCAATTTGGTAAGCTCAATTGCTTGATTCTTCCATTTCATCCACTGACTCATTCAAAATTTTCTGTGTGGATTTATTTCATCATAATACAATTGGACTGCCGCCATATTGCCCATGTAAATCTGGACTGTACACGGCAGTCAGACTGCTCAGAAGCCCACCCAGAAGTGAGGTGTTCTGGGGTTCTGTCACCCTCAAGATAAAGTCCAAGCTCCTCAGTCTGGTCCCATCTTCCATGACCATATCCCTGTCTGTCTGAACAGTGTGCTATCACTGTGACTGTGGTGCCCATTCATTTTATACCCCAGTTGCTCAAGACTCCACACCCTCCCCTCCAGCTCCTTCTCCCAGAAGTTGGCTCCTGCCTTTCTTTTCCTGGCATTTCAAGGACCATCAGCTCAGTTAGCTTTCTTTGAACCCCCATGAGAGATAAAGTGCCCTTTATCTCACCATCCCACCATCTTAGACTTTTAACTTCCCCCTGCCTTCCTCTTTCCTCTCCTCCCCCCCTTTTTTTTAGTACTGGGAATTGAACCCAGGGCCTTGTGCATGCTAGGTAAGTGCTCTACTACTGAGTTCTATCCCCAGCTCCACAAAAATATTTGAAGCTACCATTTCTTCTCTCCTCCAGTGCACTAGCTGATAAGCTCCTAAGGACAGGATGATATTGTGTTCACCTTTGGTCCACACAGCACAGGGTCCAACACTTCAAGATGTAGACCTTCTATCACTGCCAGTTTTTTTTACCCCTATGGAACAATGACTGCTGAACAGGAATAATAATAGTAATTAGATGTACTAAGTGATTTGACAGAGTTGAAGCTCCTTGTTTCCAGACAGTGCTGACCTGTGTGGGATTTTCTGCAATGATGGAAATCATTTGTATTTGTGTTGTCTCCAAAGTAGACATATGTGGTCAGAGAAAACTTGAAATATGACCAATGCACTAAAGAAATGGATTTGTGTGTGCGTGTGTGTGCGTGTATGTATTGTACATGTGGGTGCATACGCACATATGTGCATATGCATGTGGAGGCCAGAGGACAATCTGAGGTGTCAGTCCTCAGGGGCCATCTACTTTGTTATTTATTTTAAGAAGTCTTTATTTTACTTTATGTGTATGTGTGAGTTCCTGCATATGTGTATGTGTACCATGTGCATGTCTGGTGCCTGCTAAGGTCAGCAGAGAGCATCTGATCCCCTGGAGCTGGAGTTACAGGCAGTTGTGAGCCACTCTGGATGTGGGAAACTCAACTCAGGTTCTCTGCAAGAGCAGCCAGTGCTCTGAACTGCTGAGGCACTTCTCCAGCTCCTACTTTGTTATTTTTAAAAGGTTTATTTTATTTAGTTTTAATTATATGTATGTGTGGTTTTTAGATTTCTCCCAGTTCTTACATAGTTGACAAAAGTATTTCCTACCTTGCTTGGAGTTTTAGAGACCAAAACAGATATGTGCAGGAACATTTAAAGACCAACTCACTGAAGATGGCTGCCTATGTGTAAATGTTCCCACCAAGCTGTCTAGTTACTAACAAGATGTCACTGAACACAGTTTGGAGGCTATTAAGAGTAGCATACCATCATGTACACAATATATACAGTACACGACGGCCAAGAAGATGATAGAGGTAAATAACCACAAGAACAAAGATAATGGCAAAATGTAGTAAAATAATTAGAAAGTGACCGGTTTTAAGTACTTACTGTCTTGGCTTTGAACTTGCTATATAATACAGGCTGGACTTGAACTCAGGATCCACCTTTCTTAGTTGGGATTATAGGTTTGCACCACTATGCCTGGCTTTGTGGGTCTCCCTTAGCCCCAGCTGGCCTGGAACTCACTATGTAGACCATGCTGGCCTCAATCTCACAGAGATCTGCCTGCCTTGCCTCCTGAGTGCTGGGACTAAAGGTGTGGTGAGCCATGATGCCTGACTTTTTGCCTTAATTGTAAAACAATGATTGTGCTTTAAAAATGAATTCATACAGCATGGTGGCAAATTACTGTAATCTCAACATTCAGGAGGCTATGGTAGGAGGATTATTGTTTGTTCAAGGATGTCTGGGTTACACAGTGAAGTAAAAGCCATCCTGGGCATTGTAGTGAAACTGCCTCAAAATGCCAAAACCAAACCAACCAACCAACCAAACAAATGGAGGCTGGAGAGACAGCTCAGCAGCCAAGAGAGCTGGCTGCTCTTGTAGAGAACCCGGGTTCAGTTCTTAGCACCCACATGGCAGCGAGCAACCCATTCATCAGTAACCCCAATTCCAGGGGATTTGATGCTCTCTTCTGTTCTCCACAGGCATTGTACAACATAGGCATATATACATACATGCAGGCAAAACACTCACATACATAAAATAATAAATAAATAAATAAATAAATAAATAAATAAATAAATAAATAACCCAAGCCCAATGACAGTGTTGGAGAGATGACTCAGTGCTTGGCACTAAGCCTGATGACCTGGAACCCACACGGCAGAAAGGGAGAATTGACTCAAAAAAGTTGTCCTCTGAATTTCACATGCATCCAGTGGCAAACATCCACCACAAAAAATTAATGGTTAAAAAAAAAGAGAGAAAAATATTAAACAAAACAAGAGTTCAAACGGCTGGGGGTAGGAGACCAGGGTACTTGCCAAACACGCTCAAGGCTTTGGATTCAATTCTCAAGAGAGAAAGTAAAACCTAACACTAAATTCTTGAAAATTTAAGCAGTGTGAGTTTGCTATTGCACCCCAAAGCTCCTAGTTATTGTTCCAAACAAACTAAAACACCTTTGGGTAAAATCAGCTGTTTCAGCAATTCGGATGTAGGATCTCAGGCTGGGCACTAGATGGTGCCATCAGATGACTTAGAGTTTAGAACTAGGATTTTTGTTGGTGTTATTTGTTTGTTTCTTTTAAAAATATATTTGTTTTATTTTTAATTATGTATATGTGTGTGGGCATGTGAGTGCAGGTGCTTATGTGTTTGAGACAAGGTCTTGCTATGTAGCCCAGGTTGGGCTCCTCAGTGCTGGGATTTCAGGTACGTGCCACACATCCAGCAGAAGGATGATTTTTGGACAAGTTCTTTGTTCAGAGTTGTCACATTGAGGTTACATTTAGAGTTTCCCCGAAATACTGGGAGGTCTTGTGGGAACTCACATAGTTTTAGACAATTCTTTTCTTCACAACATAAACTCTAACCACTGCGCTCCCAACTAGGCCTACCCTCTAAGAGTTTAGATCTTCAAGCTAGCAAACATAAAAGCCCTTGTCAGATGGGTCCTCAGCCTGAGCAGGCAGGTCTATCAAGTACTGAATGCCTACCTCATGTGAGGCATCTTACATGTTTCACGTAATCCTCAAATCCTGCAATCCCCAAATAAGGTCTTAAAGAAATGGAAAGATTGCCAGGGCTATGGATAACCCTGCTCCAGTCACCCTGGAGAGCACCTCGCTTGCATTGGAGTGATGGCCACTTTTTGATTAACATGAGGAAAATTAAGAGTAGAACAGATGACCGGATACCCATGTAAGAATGGGAGGAATCTGATTTTCCCTCCCTCTCTGGCTCTGCTAAACTGAAGGGTTTAAGAGCATTAGGGCTAAGAAGTGGAGTCATGGGGCTGGAGAGGTCTCTCGGTGGTTAAGAGCACTGGCTGCTCCTGCAGAGGACCCAGATTCAATTTCCTGTGCCCACATGGTGGTTAACAACTATCTGTAACTCCAGTTCCAGGGGACCTGACACCCTCTTCTGGCCTCCATGGTCATTGTATAACACGGGTGCACTTATGTACATGTAGGCAATATATTCATACACATAAAAAAATAAAATAAAACAAATTTAAAAAAAGAAGTGGAGCCAAGTCTTCTCCAGGAAATTTTACATCAGGATGTACTAGAGAGTACTGTGGTAGGGTAGGGGGTGCCCTGTCAGTTAGGAGAGGAGCTGTGATAGTTTTAATTGTCAACTTGACACAATCTAGACTTGCCTGGGAAGAGAATCTCAATAAAGGATTGCTTAGATTAGGTAGGTCTACAGGTATATCTCTGGGGGACTGTCTTGATTATGTTAATTGATGTGGGAAGCCTCAGCCTAAAACCATCCCCTGGGTCTGGGATCTAGACTATACAGAGAGACGTGGGGGGAGAGCTGAGCACTAGCATGCATTCATGAATTCACTGCTCTTTGTTCTTGACCATGGCTGTCACGTGACCAGCTCTGCACGTTCTTGTCACCTTGACTCCACACCATAATGAACTGCAGCTCCGAACTGTGACCCAGGTAAACCCTTTCTACCCTGAGTTGGTTTTGTCAGGATATTTTATCACAGCAACAGGGAGCAAAACTCAGACAAAGACAGAATCCACCCTACATTTGACCCTGAAGAGGAGGAACTGGTTCTCTCACAATGGTTTTACATTCTTAATTCTTTTAAAAATGGTTTTTATTATTTTTATTTATCAGCATGTGTGTCTGTGTAGGGGCATGCTTGCCTGAGTGTAGGTGCCCGCGGAAGCCACAGGTGTCATTTCTCCCTGGAGCTAGAGTTCCAGGCAGTTCTGTGAGTCATTGACATGGGTGCTGGAAACTGAACTCAGATCCTCTGCAAGAGCAGCATGTGCTCCTAACGACTGAGCCATCTCTCCAGCCCCTCTCAATTATTTTTAAAAAATAGTTGATTTAGTGTTTTGAGACAAAATCTCATGTAGCCCAGGATGACCCTGAACTTCTGATTCTCCTGCCTCACCTCTTGAGTTCTGGGACTCTAGGGGTGTGTGTCACTATACTAGTGTGTGCTAGCTTGTACTAGTGTGTGCATTGCTGGGGTCAAAGCTGTGGGCTTTGTCTATATCCCAAGTCGCCTTTTTTTTTGTGGTTTGAGATAGGGCCTTACAATGTAGCTGAGCCTGATCTGGAACCCACTATGAAGCCCAAGCTGGCCTCAAACTCATGATCCTTCTGTCTCCAGCTCTTGGGTGCTAGGATTACAGGTATGTGCCATTGTACCTGGTCCAGTTTACCTTCTTTGTGTGTGTATATATGTGTACAGGTGCACATTATGTCTGGAGGTGCATATATGTGGAGGCTAGAGGTCAACCTTGGTTGTACCTTAGAACAGATTTGTTATTTATTTATTTATTTATTTATTTTTGGTTTTTTTGAGACAGCGTCTCCCTGTAGCCTCAGTTAACCTGGATCTTGCTATGTAGACCAGGATGGCCTGGATCTAACAGAGATCTGCCTACTTCTGCCTCCCAAGTCCTGGAACAAAGGCATGGGCTACCATGCCTGGCTACCTTATTTATTTATTTTTTTAATACAGTCCTTCACCAAACCTGGAGCTCACTGATTTGGCTGGGCTGGGTGGCCAGCAAGCCCCAGAAATCTGCCTGTCTCTGCCTTCTCGGAGCTGGCATTACAAGCAAGTGCCGCCACATCCAGCTATTTTTACATGGGTTCTGGGGACTGAACTCAGGTCCTCATGTTTGCATGGTTAATACTTGGTTGACTGAACTATCTCTTTAGCCCAGTTTACTTTCTTAATGCTGTTAGCCTAGTTCAAGTTCTAGGCGATGCTTATGCTGCCCGACCAGGGACCACTTTGGGAGTGTTTTGCCTACTCAGTTCTTTTCTTAGTCCTTGTACTGTTGGACTCACCATCTCCACCGCCAGGTGAGCCCACTCAGAAGGAGGATGCTGATCAGCAGGAAGACGCAGCCAGCCACTGTCAAGAGAGGGAATTCAGAAGGGCCTTAGGGCTAGGCACCGGGGCAGCAGGAGCTGGGTGCATAGGGCAGGTAAGAAAATTTCCTAGGTGAGAAAGAGCCTCCTGAGAAGCTGGGGCCTGTGGCTTCTGCTTTCCTTTCTTGGCTGCCTGAGGATTGCTTAGGAGGCTCATGGAGCCAGGACCCAGGGCAGGTGGGCATGGAAGGAGCATCTCAGGGAAGGGGGCTGGCACTTGTTCTCTGGAGCCAATTGGCAGCTGGAAACTGAGAAGGGCTCAGAGGTCAGGTCTCATTAGAGGCCTCTTCCATGAGGGAAATACTGGAGCAGGAAGAGAGACGCTAAACACACTGTGTCCCCCGCAGGTGTTTACATCTCCCCTGTACTGACTGGCAAGGTTCCAGAGTCTGTCATTTCAAAGCCATTTCATCTTCAAAGCACATGTAGTCTGAACCCGTTTTTGCTTCCCACCAGCAACACTTGAGGTTGGACCATTTTCTTTTCCCTGGGTCCTGGCCTTGTTCCTCGCTCAAGATGCACACAAGAGGAACTGGTTAAGACGGCTTTAACACTGAATCCTGTGATGGTTTGTATATAATTATCAACTGAACAGCATCGAGAATCACCTTGTAGACAAAACTCTGGATATGTCTGTGAGACAGGTATCTAGATTAGGTTAATGGAGGTGGGACGACCCACCCTAAATGTGGACAGCACCATTCCATGGCCTGAGTGGACTGCCTGAAAAGGAGGAAGTGGGCTGAGCAGAAGCGTTCTCTCTCTCTGCTTCCTCACTGCAACTGCAATCTGACCAGCTGCTCGATCCCTGCCACCATGCCTTCCCCAGCAGGACGAACTGGACCTTCACACTGTGAGTCAAAACAAACACTTTCTCCCCCAAGTCTCTTTTTGGTCAGATATTTGGTCACAGCAATTCAAAAGGTAACAAATACAGCTCCCAACATGCTACAGCTAATTCATTGAGCATCTGTATTAATCTTTTACCCTCATAAACATTAGAGTAAGAAGGGGTCATTTCAACCAGCCAACCAGCCTGCCCACGTCTTGGTCTGATACATGATTTGTTCATAAAGGAAACGACGTCACCTACCTGTTATCTGATGCTCCATTGTAAGGAAGAACGTCTCCATTGTTGTAGTTGCTTCTGGAGGTTGTTGGGTGTCTATGGAAAAGGGTGGGGGGAAGAGACATTCAGGTTATGACAAGCACAGGACATGAAGCTGGAAAACGAGGGGGGTTCTCAGTAGAGGTTGGGGGAAGGGATGTGAGGGGCTGGGGAGCAAGGTCTGCTTGGATACCTCAACTTTAGTCCTGTGATTTCTCCTTCTGACACTTCCTTTAGCTGCGTGTGTAAGTGAAGGGGGTGATGTGTGCGTTCATGTTGTGTGTGCAGGTGCATATGCACTTGTGCATGTGGAGGCCAGAGGTCAATGCCAGGTGTCTTCCTTAATAACTTCCATCTTATTTTATGAGACAGGGTGTTTGAATGAGTCTGAAGCTCACTGGTTCAGCTAGACTGGCTGCCAGTGAGCCCCAGGGATCATCTGTCTCCCCCGTGCTGGGTTATAGGTAACTGCTGTCATACGTAACTTTCTCTTTTAAAAAAACATAGGTTTTGGGGGCTCAAACTCGGGTTCTCATGTTTGTATGCCATCCACCTTGCCAACTGAGCCGTCTCCTCAGCCTGCTTTGGGTTGTGTGTGTTGCTAAGGCCACACCCCTGTTCTGGAGGCAGATGGGGTTATCTCTTCCTCCCTATCTGGATCATCTGGTGGAGAAGTTTGTCTTCTCTTGCCTGATCAGTGTTTAATGGTCAAATGTCCATTCATGGAACACCTGCCAGACCCCCCGTACCTGTGATGGTGATGGGGCAGGAAGTCTCACTCTCAGGAAGGGTATCTGTACTCTCTAGATATTCTTCTTTGTCTGGGGGAGAGAGTAAGCAATGCATTTGTAACCCAAGACAAAGATATGAACGTCTTACTCTTCCCTCCAGTCGCAGCCGGCACTGGATACACTTGCTGAGGCCTGGCACCTGGATTGGAATGTCTCCGAGACTCAGTTCCATATCAGGGGCCATGGGAAGACATTAAGGGCATTAGGAGAGTAAATGATGGGGAATTCTGGCCCCGACAGTGGCTCCCTATGGAACTCTGAGCAACTCTGTCTCCCCAGGCTTCCTACTTAGCCCCGACTCCCACCCTTGTCTTGGAAATGGGTCAGAATTACACGCGCACACCCTGGCGGGGCATCAAATGGAGTGGAATTGTGCCAAGATCGCTCTCTCTCTCTCTCTTTGACAATCCCTCTGTGATCAATGACCCAGGGACTTTCCACTTCCACCTCTTACAATGAAAGCTATTAACATGCCCTGGCCATTGGGGCGGCTCGTGGAGGTAGGTTATGGGAAAGAAACATCATTTCCAGAGGACCCTGGTGAAGTTGTGGCATGTGACAAATGGTGGCAAGCAAAGAAGCCAGGAAAACTCATGGGTGAACATGAATAACTGTGGATTGTGGAAATAGTGGGATTTCAAATGCAGATGTTGGAAGAGCCCAACCCAGGCAGGCTGTGGGTGTGCAGGAGTGTGTACGTGCACACCTGCTGGAGCAAGTCCCTTCCTGCACACTTGGACTCTTATCAGAACTCAGGTTGGGGACTTGTTCAAGGGAGTGTGGTGACGCGAAGCTGTTCAAGTGACAGATGTACACTAAATACCAGCACAAGGAAGACACATGTAGGTGGGAGACTGGACTGTATCTTCTGAACTAGGAGATGTCTTGGCAGCTGGACAGAAGTCGTGGAATTTCAGGATCAACTAGGCAAAGGATAGCATCACCAGGGCCTCTGGTGTGCTTGGGGATGCTAGAGAGGTCATTATTGCTTTGTCTCTATCGCCTCCTAGAACACAGGGCTACCTTAGCTGAGGGGGCTTTCTCATTATCGCCACCTAGAGCACAGGCTACCATAGGTGAGGGGGCCTTCACGTTTAGTTGGATTTATTTATTTAGAAATGACACCTGGATGGTCAAGTAGTGTTGGAGACCACTGAACTGTTGAGCTGATTGATGCTGGAGACACACTGCTTTACCTAAACTCTGCTGAAAGCATGCTTGAACACGCCCAACAGCACCTCTGGTCAAGAATGTCTACGTAGCAAAAGCTGCATAGGTATGTGTGCTAACACAGACAAAGGAACACAGGGCCCCCATCCCAAATTACATAAGGAAATAACCGTCTGACCACCGGTCACAATGCCCAGTTATGCTTAGCTGGTCCTCGTCGCAGTAAACAAATTTTTGCTTCATAATAACATACGTAGAAGTCTTGAGGAAGTTTTCTCAAGACTGACTTACTAAGTAAAAGTCACATTGGTTTCTCTGCTTATGTAGGTTAAAACAATAAATATAAGTAGAAGAGGAGCTGGGGCCTCTGTTCCCTCAGCAGAGAGCTCCCCAGTTCCCCACTCTTGAGATTCTAATGAAGTGGTGTGTCTTTATTTTATGCTCTGCCATCCACCTTCAAGGATCTCAGAACCCTGCTACCCCTGCATGCAGGAAAGTAGCTTTCTCAAGGTCCTGTGACTGATGAAAGAGGAGTCTCATTTTGCTCCAGAGAGAGAGAGAAGAGTGGGGTGGACCTGAGCAGGGAGCTGCCTACCTTGAAATTGATGGTGCTCTCTTTCATCTACACATGTGAGCCGAGGCTGAGTCCACCCTGTCTTTCCACAGATGGTTTTACAGACACTTGTGGCAGGATGTTTCTGGAGAGCCTTGTACCCCTGAATGCACTGGTAGTAAACTGTCTGTCCCACTTTGAGATGATAGATTCTCTTTGTACTTTCATGGTCCCATGGAGGGGGCTCCCTGCAGTGACCTGGAAGAGGAAAAGAGAATCCAAAGGCAAGTTAGGGAGGGCACGGGGAGAGACTCTGATTGCTAGGGATTGGACCTCGGTTCTTGCTGTTTTGTTTCACTTTTTGTTCAATCTGCACACATGGAGAACCTCTCCCAGGCAGGAATGAGGCATTATAGGAAGGTCCTGAACCCAGGGGTGTGTTATGTCCTCCAAGTTGAAATATTCCCTCTTGGAAGGAAAGTCCTTAAGATTCAGAAAGTAAACAAAACACACAGGTCTTGGGAAGATCCTGAGACTCACAGGCCCCTTCCCAAGGTTATATTAAGCAATAACCATGACTGGCGAGGAGACTTTCCAACTGTTAGTGCTGACTGCCAGTTAGCGGGTACAGTTTTCAAGGGTTGTGACCATGCTAGCATGGACTTTTTGGTGATGCAGCTGTCTTGAGTCATCCATGTTCCTGACTTCAGTAAATTCATTGGCTCACTAAGTTAGACTTGGGCAGGTAGTTTCTTTGCTATGCTGTCAGTCCCCTGTTGGGGTGAAGAGATGCTTGTTACTCATATACTCAAAACCTGCTAGACTTTCCAAACCCTGAATACTCAAAATAACCTCCATATTCAAAAAACCCCACACATAAACCCTCTGCCCCCACAGGAAACCAAGCGTCCCGACTTGAGCTATCTTTTGTCCCATTGAACCTTGCATATCATTACTTGAACTGTGTTTTAGTCTCAGAATAAATTGTTATGTTAAGGTCAAGAACTGTATTATCAGAACCTGATTGAATTGGATTTCTTTAAGATGCAAACACCAAAACCATGACAATTTATGAAACATCTCTCAGCCAGAAACAGCTGCTTATGTCTCTTTTTTTGTTATTTTGGGGGGGGGTAAAGGAGGGTATCATAAAGTTCAGGTTGGCTTTGAACTTCTGCTACTCTTGCTTCTACCTTCCAAGTGCTGGGATGACATGTGTATGATACCATGCCCTATTCAGCCCATTATCTCTTCAGTAAAGACAACAAACATTGACCTCCCTGAAACCTCTCTATAATTGTAGAGGTTAGCTGGGGTGGGGGGAGAGAGAGAGGAGAGAGAGGAGAGAGAGGGAGGAGAGAGAGAGAGAGGAGAGAGAGAGGAGAGAGAGAGAGAGAGAGAGAGAGAGAGAGAGAGAGAGAGAGAGGGAGGAGAGAGGAGAGAGATTAAATGTGTTTTTGGAACACCATTCTAGGACAAAGTTGCTTCTGGATTGGTCTTTCTTTCCCCTAATAATGGATGGAGTAAAACCGAAGTAGTTGAAAATAAGTCCTCAGTATAAAAAACCATCATTAATCTAGGAGACCCACAGTCTTATTCCTGACCTAGTAGACAATTTTAGCTAAGTTTATGTTTAACTCATTCCCTTCCCCAAACTCAGGTTTTCCTAGCAGACTCTCTTTCAGACATCGTGGCTTAATTTAAGTGTTACTCACTTGGGAAAGATGTGGGCAGACACAGTGACTCCATTCACACCTCATTGCCTCACCAACTAGCAGATACCCGTCTGGAGCTTTCATTTCATAAGCCTGACTTTAAGAAGCACCTTGATATCAATGGTTTTGCTTGAATTCATTGTCTTGCACTTAAAAGAAACTAGGAGGAATTCTTCCATGTCAATGCCTAGCACACAGTTATTCCCAACACACTTTTGCATTAAACTGAATCTGAGTTGAATTCTCAAGCTCCCAAACTACAACCCAGTTCAGCTACAGTAAGAGTGGCTTGAGATGCTGAGCAGCCACTGTGCCAACATTAGGCAATGGTTGTCGTCTGCATGGTGTTCTGAGAGGCGAATGAATTGCACTTTGCACTTGGAGCACAGGACTGGTATCCCTCCTTTGCAGACCTCATCCGACCCATGCAGCTGAAGGTCAGCTCCAAGGACAGCTAGCGGGCAGCTGTTGAGACTCATCTCTCACCTGGAATGTTTCCTTGGTCCACCGACCATGCTGAACTTTGCGTTTCTGTGGTTTGTCTCTCTTTATGTTCTTCGGGTTGAGGTGTAACTCGCTTTCTTGTGTTTCTGTTGGCTAGAGGATATAGGAGGATTGAGGCAGGAGTTCAGAAATGCTCAGAACATAAAACGCCTTTCATGTATTCATTCTCCCCAGGATAGCTGGGTGTGCCTGGATACATCTCAGTGCTGGGTTTATAAAGATGAACAAAACACAAGTCCTCCCTTGGATAGGGCTGGTTCATACCTAGCCCAGTACTAGCCTCTTTGTGTTCATATTTATATCCATATAGACAATGGAAACAACATATTTCTAGAAGAAAAATATTTTTCTGCTGGAAAATACTTTGTAGATATGTGCAGGAAACCTAAGTAGATCCCTTCTTTGTTGTCAGTTCTGCCAGCATTGTGCATGGGGGTGAGGATTGGTCTGACTCCACAACCTAGTAAATTCTTCAGTTACTCCAAACAATTCAAAGCCCTTCAAGTTGGAGAAATGTGCTCTTAAGAGAGTGGCAAGAAAACTCCTCCAGCCATGAAGAGCTGGCAAAGGAGTCGCACATGAGCACGTGAGTGAGGTGGGGATCAGAACTCTAGCTTAGGATGAGGGCAGGATCTGTTGGAAAAATGAGTCAGTGAGGGACCATCATCAGCAAAACAGCCATCTGCAAACACTGCCCTCCACACATGGTCAGCTCACTGATCTACCCTATCCTCAGAGTTAAATAAAAATGAATGACATAATAGCTCAGCTAAGAAACCAACCTATGTGTCCAGCAATGGGAGATGATTAAAGCAAATGTGGTCTATCAGGATGGTAAATTTTTCAGCCATTAAGAAGAACCAAGGGGCCAGAGAAATGGCTCAGTGGTTAAGAGCACTGGCTGTTTTTGCATAAGACAGTTGCATAAGATGGTAGCCATATGGCAGCTAACAACTAACTGTAACTCCAGATCCAGGAGATTTGATGCTCTCTTCTGGCCTCCGCAAGCATTGCAGGACACAAATGCACATGCAAGCAGGCAAAAAAACTCATACACATAAAATAAATAAATAATTAAAAAAAGAAGAACAAGTCGTGTCATTCTCAACAAAATGGATACAACTGGAGATAATATTAAATGAATGAAGCTGGTCTCAGAAAGACAAATACCATATGGTTTCCCTCATTTGTGGTTCCCAGA